TTCATTTAATAAATGTTTTGATATATAAGTTGTTCGGGTTTTTTCATCTAAAAAAAAAAAACGACATAAATTTCTTGACGACCTAATACCATGATGAAAGTTTTGAACATAGCCTGAATGTATTCTCAGTATATAATCTTATTATACTCATTGCTTTTTTAAACTGGTATCGGTATTATGTATTGTTTGTGAACATTTTTAAATGAAATTTTCAATGAATAAATAAAGTTATTAAAGAAAAAGTTATTATCACGATGAATAATCATATCTTGAATAAATCTATCATATTTCGAAAACTAGAGATGATCAGCAATTTTCAAAGCGATTTTTAGAATCAGCATCTTCAGATTACTTAGAAACAGTTGTATTCTTTCTAGTGTTATTGTCAAGTGTAATCAACCTCAACTTCTCATCAAACCAGTACACGGGGTTCCCCAGTGACTTTTAGCTTCAGTTTTTCAATGTGTTCATGCATACCACGTGATTGCTGTACTCGCAGTATGATGGACTGAGTTGTCAGAGAATGAGATAAGGACCAGTCCAGCTAGAGCCAAATTTCTTTCAAGCTAAAGCCAACATACCAAAGCCATACTCAGTCTCCTTGCTTTAACTTTATTGCTTTATCACAGCATCTCTTCTGCCATGCAGTATTATTTCTTAGCTGCTGACGTACACACTCATATACGCCAACCAATACAGAACTCAACCACTCCACATATTCCTGTGGACACTGTGGCAGATGATGACATACTCTTGTCGAAACGTTGTACATTTGTAATAAAGTTTCTTTCACTACCAATTCAAGCCATCTCCAAACTTTATTTTCTAAAAAAAAGTGGGTTCCTCGTCATCAAACTGTGGCAGAGATGTTTTCGGGGCAGACCATACATCACATCCAAAGGAAGCACTACGCTAGCTGTCACCTAATTTAGCAGTGTAAGACTAGAGGGAAGGCAGCTAGTCATCCCCACCCACTGCCAACTCTTGGGCTACTCTTTTTACCAATGAATAGTAGGATTGACCGTCACTTTATAACGATCCCACGGCTGAAAGGGCGAGCATGTTTGGTGTGTGGGGATTCGAACCCGCGACCCGCATATTGCGAGTCGAGCGCCCTAACCACCTGGCCATGCCGGGCCCAATTTCCCGGTACAAACAGTAGTGAGATCAGGTTAGGCACATCTGGTTCCTGAATTTTTGGCCTGGCTTCTACGTATGAAAATATTCATTGAGGCCTGATATACAGGGATAATGAAAAACAAGCAAACAAACCCAAAAACAACAACTATAGGTATGAATTTTGAAAGTTCTAGAGGCTATGCAATATGCAAACTGTGTGATGAACAAAAGTATTTTTATTTTTCACATGAATATGTCAGAGTCAGACCAACGTTCTTAATTCACAGACGTACCTTGAGTACAAATACTCTTTTTTTGATACAACTGATTTACTACAAGTTCACCACATTTTGTGTTTACACAAAAAGTAAGTTCGGAATTATAGTCAATATTCCTAATTCAATAGGGAGTCAGTCCACTGAACTGACCCTATGTGCATTCAGATAATTAATTTGGTCTTTTAAATATCCTAATGTAGACTGGGAATGTCAACGTATTTAGCTAAAACAGCACTACGAATCTTCAGATATCCGTTTCCTATCACATGTAAAGAAACAGGCAATTTTGTATTTTGCGATGGGCTCTCGCCCACTGGTATCAAAATACAACAAATGTCATTGACTCAATCCAGTCCAGAAAGATGGGGTTTTTAAAGAATGGAATGACTATTCTGTTCTCTGTGAATTTTCTATAATTGTACTTGCTAGAAAGTACATTTTTTTTAAACTGGTCAACCACATTTTCCAGGCCTAGGTTATTTGAAAGTGTAAAGATTTCAATGATCGTTTGTTTATACCAGTTCAAACGATAGAGAACATATGAGTAAACTTCAGCTATTATACAAGAGTTATACATGTTATAAACTTTGTGCGGTTAGGTGAAATGTTCAATCACAAAGACATTCCAGGTATTTTCATAATGGATGAAGTATCTTGATCAAACAATGATAATTAAAGATACAATTTCTATTTCTAGTGACTTTTGTATTTTACATCAAGTGTACATTCTTCTTCCCTGATGTTAGTGACAATGGACTTGGTAAATCTTGCTAGATTAACAGGGTTTGTGTATTTTGTGATACCATCTGTCTGGATCATATTTAAACGATACTTTTCTTAATATTTCACCTGCCTTTGGAAATAGCTGACTGAATATTGAATAACTCATTCAACAAATGAATTAGAAAATGTTTTATTTATTTATTGGGTAGAACTACTACATCTTTCCATCACCATCAATGCTTCTTATTTACAGGATTTTTATTTACAAACTGCCAACTTTAAAGGTCACAACAATTATGGCAGCCCATCAAACTGATTAATGCCCTAATTTCTGAATTTCATTGAGATACAAAAAGTTCAGATGCAATAACACAGTATGTAAACTACAACTACTTCAGTATATGCTTAGCTTCTTCTCAGTTACCTTCATTTGGCTCTTACTGTAGGAAGCCTTTTCTTGCATATATAATTAAAGTAGAATTTACATAAATGTACACGGTAGAGGTTATAAATAGCAACACTTACAGGTTTAATTTCCAAATCGTGAGTCACAAAATGCAGCTTTATTTGGCTTTAAGTGTGGACATCAGATTAGTGTAATCCCTTTGCTTGGTTTATTATAATCAATAATCATTATAGTTATTTACCTCTGTCTTCAGTAGATCTTACTTGATTAGTGTCAGATGATCTCATTAACTTTCACAGAAATTTATATAGTGCGAACTGCTTTATATAGAATTAGCTTGGAACTTAATTTTTTTGTTCAAAAAACAAATGATCATGGAACTATTCAAGGACTTATCTTTTCGGAACCAGAGGACTTCTGTTGTCATAGAGAGAAAAAAAAGAGAAGAGATTAACAAAACCAAACACACCTTTCACTAGTGGCTAAGTGCTAAACACTTTACTTAATTTCTAGATGATGTTCTTTCACAGAAAATAATTTCACTATGGTGCTATATAATCATTATGTTCCTGATACCTCAATACACTGACAATAGAAAATCAGAGTTACAGTACAAGTATGGTTCACTTTTATGTTTTTACAACTAAACAGACAGCATAAACTAACTCTAAAAAGACTTATTTTCTAACTACATAAAACACCTATGTGTTAAAGTATCCTTTTATCTAATCTTCAATCAGTGTTTTTAACCTGGTCTTGCACTTACAACTGGAATCCATTAGTATGCTTAGTTTTCAATCCCCCACATAAGTGTGCTAATTGTTCATATATATCTTGTTTTAATAATAAAAATCTTAAAGATTTAATTTTGGCTCTCATTCTCATAAAATGTATAGATTCAGAGATAAAGCAACATATTGTCTGTTGTTGTAATTTTTTCAGCATTGAATTTGTAAAAAAATAATTCATTTTTATGGTAAAAAACTAGTAATCTATATATATATATGTGTGTGAAATTTCTAAAGCTAAAAATAATAATTACTGTTATTTTTAATTTAAAAAAATCTAATAAGATCATCCAATTCAAACTGACGGGATACTGCTTGTGATGAGTTTTACTAACAGTATTTTCAGCTACTTATGCATGCAATATGTTTTTATATTCCAGAAAGATTGGTGTCAAACTACTGCTATGGATATAATACATTGAAAACTACTACAGACCCCAATTTTTGTTGCATGAAATCAATCAAAGCTACATGTAAACTGTACATGGTTAGAATGGAAACAAGAGCTTGACCATCAAGCATTGTTATTGCACAAGAAAAGTTTCTTAAAGAACACAACTATTGGAGAAGTTAGTCTGGTTAAGTGCATTCAACTTGTTACTGCTAAGAAAGTTGGTTACAGAAAATGGGTATCTGATTACAAAGAGCCACTACAGCATAAAAAGCACTTGAATAAAACAGACGATAAAGCTAGTAATTAATTTTACAATCATACTGCTATCATTGTTATTATTTTCGTAATTTACAGACACATTAGTTTTGTAAAAGGTGACTGAATTTGTAAATTTCAAAATAAAGCAAATAGATATTATTGATGGCACTGCCCATTGAACCCTACAATGTCTTATAAAATCAGTATTACATAAAATATCTGCAATAAAAGACTGTAATGATACAATTATACATTCAAGCATAACAAAAGCCCAGAAAGTTCTTTTTATTTTAAACATCTTGCAAGCAACATTCATGAAATTGTATGCAAATAAGGTAATGGTTTTGAAATTTATAATGATTAAAAAAATACTTGCAATGTTTTTTCCAAAAGGAAACGAAACAGATATTTTTGAGAAAGCTGCACTGAAACTGGTTTAAATCTGATAGTATGTTAGTTTTCACAAGCTTAACATGCATTAAGAAGTTTAAACACAAAAATGTAAGGTTTAAATTCCCCTATTTTATTACAGCTTACTGTAATATTTAGAAATAATGCAGAACAGATTTTGAAGAGAACAATGAATGGTTAAAAAAACCTAGATACAATTTGCACAACTATGTTATGGTTGAAAATTCCTGAAGAAGATTTTGCTGCTCCAGAGAAGTGAAGTTGAGAGATTGCTGGTATTCAGACACAACACTTCGTACCTGATGAAATAAAAAAATGTATTATGACAGAACACTATTATTATTATGTTGTTAACAGAAAACACAAGTACTGTTTGTCCATGTTAGAAATAACAATGGGTACTGCAATAATTAGTTCTAAAAATAACACACAGATGGAGCTACAACATAATGAAATCTGAAAATATAAAAAAAGAGGGTTAAATATGCTCCAAGAAGAATAAAAATGGCTAACATTCTGGTCAAGTTATCAAAGTAATCTATAATTCAGTTAATCAGCTGTTGAAAACCTTGGCAAAAATGTTACTACCTTTTTTCTAGTGATTATTTTGAGCCTCTTTTGAATTTTCAGTTAAATTGAAAGATTTTCCTTTCTAGTAAAAATAAATAATTTAATAAAAGGAAGGTTTTACATGTTATTCAGAGAACACAACTTTCTCTAAAGCCTTTTCTACAAATTAAATTATTTAACTATAACACACAACTTCTATTAAAGTATTTCCTATGTTATACAATAGTTAACTATAACACACAACTTCTATCAAAGTATATTCTACACTATACATTATTTAAATAGAATAAATGACTTCCTTTAAAGTATTTTCTAAGGAATGAATTAATTACCTATAATACTTGTAATAAAAGAAGAACACCATACTTATTTCTGAATTATAAAAGGTATAAGATATGTGAAATGATTTAGTATATTTTACCAGAAAATCAAGAACAAATAAACTGTCACAATAAACCCCTGATGACTTCCTGCAACAAGTGCATAAATACATAGTCTATTAAACATGAATTATATGAAAACATTCAAATTAGAGTAGTTTCAAATACAAAGTAACTATTTAGTTTTATGCTGGAGATGTGTATTCAGAAGCTCTACATCTAGATAATGTTATAAAAGGGTTGTTAATAAGCCCAGACAAGGTTAAAGCACTGTGGTAGCAATGGCACATGTATGCCCTCTTTTACAAAGATAATATACATTGTGAATGGAATGATAAATTCCAGAAATTTTGTTTACGAACATATAGACTGAAATGGAATTCTGGTCTCCCTGAAGAAGACTATAAACTATAACAGTAATTTTATGTTCATATCCTTTTTGAAGGAAACTGTGTAAACAGTTTCACACAAAGATATTGTGTAAACAGTTTCACACAAAAATGTTGTGTAAACAAATGTTATAGAGCAATCACAAAAAATAAATGAAAAAGTGGTTGTACACAGACAAAAAAAGATGCTTTCCCCATTCTTCGTGTGTGGAAGGGAAGAAGGTTGTGCACCACATAAATAACATTACTGTGAATCATGTTACTACTAAAACTAATCTTACTATAATGGACATAGCATGTATCTATGTGTCTGTGTTAGCCTTCCCTAATTTAGCAGTGAAAGACTAGAGGGAAGGCAGCTAGCCATCACCACCTACTGACAACTTTTGGACTACTCTTTATCAATGAATAGTGGGATTGACCACACACTGTAACGCCCTCACGGCTGAAAGGTCGAGCATGTTTGGTGGGACGGAGATTCAAACTCGTGACCCTCAGTCTACAGAGTAGATTCATAATTTTCTAGTCATTGTTAACCCACTATATCGCAACACTGAATATCATAGCCACTTAGTACCATAGATGTGAAATAACACCAAATATATAATCTTTCTTAGAACTACCTATTATATTGCAACAGTGAATATCATGACCTCAGATTTTAAAAAAATACCAAACATATGAGCTTTAGAAGTACTATCTACTATATTGCAACACTGAACATCATGGCCTACTTAGTACCTCAGATATGAAATAACACTAATATAATAGTAAATGTATTTCAATATGTTAAACAGCTGAAATGTATGGGTAGCTTAAACTAACAATTTCTAAAAAAACATTCGCTACAGCTAAACTTGGGCACTAAATTATCTAATGTCAACTGAAAATAGAGACAATTTCTTTTGACACTCACATCACTGTTAGAAAATGAGCTTAATAATGGGGGTAAATCTGAGTATGAATTAAAAGAAAATGGGATGCAAATTAATAAATTTGGGTATTTTTGTTAAGGGTTTGCTAAAAGTAAACATAAATGCTAGAGCTATGTACATACAAAAATAAACCACAAGATGGCAATGACATGCCCAGAATGTACAAAGACAATAAAGACTCCTACACGGGAAAGGGGTAATGACTTAAATAAGTATTCAATAAATGTTGATCATTTGGAGTAATGTTCTTATAGAAAGCCGAATTAGTGAAGTTGGTAGCAATTTAAAAAAATTTAATTTGTGATAAATCAAAGAATTGTGTTTAGGTACCACAGAGTTCAAAATTTTTCATTTAAGTTAATTAAGTCCATTTTTACATATGTCTGTTTCACCTAGTTAAGATGAATCAGTCAATATAATATACAATTCCAGCTTTTTCTCGTGCTTCTGTTTTTAGAATGAACAAGATCTTGTCACAAGGAACTGCAGGGTTTATAAGCAGCACTTGAGCTAATTATTCAAGTTAACTTATCAGTAGTACCTAGAATATGAAAAAAAAAGGCTATAAAAACATCATAAAATGTACATTTGTGAGCAAAATTTTAATAGTTTTTTCAAATTAAGGCACATTTTTGAAAATAACTGCTATAACAATTTTGCTGTTGGATTAGTAACATGTTATTTGTTTTTTTAGCTAGAATGAGTGCATAAGTTATTTGCAAGCTTTTCTAAAGTGTCAACAACAGTATTTTTGGTGAGATTTTGGATGATGAGAATCAAAAATCAAATACTTATCTGTACATTTGAGTTTAGGATAAACACCCGAGACAAGGGTGTTCTTCGCACAACTTATAATCAAAGCATCTAAAAAACAGCAAAGAGCCACTACACTCTTGTTCAAAAGTATATTGGATGAGGAAGTCTAGTGAATTCAGTAGGTTTGAAGATAAATGATTATCTTCATTATCATAGTCAAAAATACATAAAACTGTCATCAAATCTTTATCAGAGTTTAAGGCTGAAGTTTCGATGTGTTCTACTATAACCTTTGTGACAAAAGTGAAGACAGACAAGCATGACAGTTCTCTGTAATTGATGGTATACAGATATCTGTTGTTTAGTTTTATTGTCCCAGCAGTTTATATTTCTAAAATTTTATGTTTTAAAACCATACTTCAGCTTCTAGATAAGATATAGCACTTAAGAAACAATTTTGATTTTGCCGACCGAATCCTATATATATAGTTAATCTGCAATTCATACAACTTTTTCTTTTTTCACACATAAAACCCAAAGTCTACTTATGTAAGAAAAAATGAAATGAACCATTTGCTTACCATCTGAGTGAAAAATGATGATTCTTTGGGTTTTTCTGAATATCTTTCAAACTGATCAAGATTATCATGGAGCTTGAGTGTCAGTGTGTCATAGTTGTTCCGTACAACCTCCAGCACCTATGAAATAGTAAACATTTAATAGTTCATAAGATCAAAAACAACAGTACATAAAACATCAAATAAGCAACTGAAATATATTGTAAGATGCAAGTATAAACTAATATAATATGGCCAAAGCAGTTAAAACTTTTCCTTGCAAACTAATTGACTGTGACAATAAATATGAGTGTCAACAACAGGCACATGAAGACATAATCTCACAGTGCTAACTAAGCGATTGTAACAATAAATAAAGTATATGAAGGCACCATCTCACAGTGTTAACTAAGTGATTGTGACTATACACACCTGAGGGTCAACAATAAGCATAAGGCAGAATCATCTCACAACTCTTGTAAAAACTACTAGTTATATTTTTCTGAAATTATCATAATGAAAAAAAAAAGAAGCAACAAATTATTTTATTTTTGATTAAAGTCTTCCACAAAGAGAACACAGAGAATTATAGGAATTGATCCAGGTTTTGAAGTCTTCTAAATTACCATACAAATCTTAACACTTCCACTGTATTAGCATGACTATTTTAACCCAGATTGCCGAGAAGATCCAGAAGAAGGGTTTTCGTGTTTTAATTTATTACCATCCTTCTTGATTTTCTTCATGGTAGGTCTAGATAGCAAGGACAAGACCAAATTATGGTATTGTCCCTTGGGAACAATGAAACTAGTTCCTATTACTCACTGGTGTTACTGATACAAACAGAGAAGTAGATTTATCCACCTGTCTCTCTATGGAGGGCAATAGTGTGTGCAAGTAGAACAGATATATCTGTTGCATTCCTACAGTAACAGAGTACAGCAGCATAACTTTGTTCTGAAAAGGCATCACTGCTTTCCTTATCTCAGGATACAAGATGTTCTTGAGAATATTAATCGTTTTTAACCTTTTTATCCTCAAACCATTTGTGACAGGATCTAAACTAAGAGAGGTGGAACCTATAGCAATTGACAAAACATGGCTCATTCTGACACTGAATTCAAAGCTTTCATGGTTTTTGGCAATGCAACTAGTTCACATTAAAAACTATGAAGAGATGTTCTGCAGTGTTCAAACCACTGAGAATGGAAACAATGCAGAGGGTTTGGAATATCAGGCTGAACAGTGTATCTCAAGAAACTTACCTTTACATCAACAGGTGGAAGTGGTGAAGTAAAAGTCAATACTCAAATATTCTATCTTTATGAGTGGAGATTCACTTGTCAGTCGATATTTTTGTCTGGGGAGTTCAGTAAGAATTTCTAACAAGATCCTTCTCAACAATGACTCCACTGGAGGAATTCAACTATTGTGAAGAATTAGCATGATGGGCATTCCAACAATGGTCTTTGTTTTCAAAAAAACATTTACTGTTCTAGTTTATTATCAGCACTTGCCATCAAAAGAGCTTTGTATCTTTGAATTAAAAATGGGATTGTCACTTTCATATAAAAACAACTGAAAGTGCAGAGGATGTTCAAAAGCATCATGTCATGATCCTGACCCTTCAATCAGCAACCCAACACAATAATCACTAAACCACATCTGCTCTCTTTGCAATAACAACATCTTCTGATAGATATCAAATAGATATTCGAATGTTTATATAAAAAAAATTTAACTTCATGTTAGATTAAATTAAATGGTGACTTTTATACACTTCCTTCACTGCAATAAATAGAATAAAAACATAAAAATCAGGTATGACAAAGTCACAGCAAGAAATAATGTTCTTTATAAGAAATGGCTGAACAATTTATACAGCCAGTTGTGGACTTAAAAATTTGGAAGATGAAAAAGCAGATGTTCTGATATTATTTATCCAAGCATTAATATAATGATGTAATTTTGAAGTTTGTATGTCTAGAAAATTACTCCCTTATTTTCCATTTCCATAAATATTTTGTAAACTTGCCAGAAGTTGAAATTTCTGATTTAGTTTTTCTTTTCATAAGCAGATCTTGTGATACTTACTCGTAAAAACTGTTTATTATGTAACTATAATGTATACTTTACACAAGCATTACCAAATAACCACACCTTGAAGTAATTCTCACCTGTTCTTCAGTTAAAGTTGAGATGTAGTTGGCTGAAGCCCAAGAGTCAATTTTGGGAGAAAAATGGTTGATGATAGCTCTAAAAGAACATTAATCTTTGATTGCAGTTCAAATCTATATAATAACATGGTATTAAAGCTATTTTATACATATTTAGCAAGTTAGCACAATACATAAAAAATATACTAACGATTTTTTATTCAAAAAATGTTTATATAAATCAAACTAGTTAAAAAAAAAAGAAAAGAAATTCAGTCAAATATTAATCTATTAACCACAAACTGTCTACATAAAAACCTTTAATTCTCAAAGAAAAGTGTTACTTCATAAATAAAAATTATAAAAAATATATACATTATTCAACTTCAGCAGTCAGCTAAGGTACATTTTGGTCTACTATAAGTTCCTAATGGCACTTTTAGGGCACTGACATTTATTTTGAATTTGTAGGTCAAGAAACACATTACTTGGCAGTTTTCCCTTTCTTTACTGATTGGTTAATTTGAACAATCTTGTTTCATAATCTGTTAAAACTATTAAAATACTAGTAGTGAAGAAAACTATCCTGTGTATTAAGACACATGATTGGTGTTTTCCATGTTATTTTTATTTGATTAGCAAGCTTTGTTCACAATTTGAGCAATCATTTTATACAAATACATAATATATCAACTAAATTAGGAGCTACATCAATAGCTGACACATTGACACTTTTAATTAACATTCTACTAACATTGTTACTTAGCCTATATGATGGTATATCAAAGCAACATTTATCTTCTGGTAAGAATATCATTGACTAAGTCACAAAGAGGCTTTGTGTTAATGATAGACTACATAAGTGATTATCTTAGGGCTTCAGCTACTCAGTAACTCCATTAGGAGAACGGGTGCGACCTTATTTTTGGCCTGTTAATCTATCATTAGCCCTAATCAGCACACGCTGTCAAATTATTCTCTGTGTATTTATTTAATTTTAGTTAAATAATATTTTTATCACCTAGCTGTACTAAGAGACAGAGCAGTTGTAACCACATTTTAAACACCTCTTTGGTTCCATGTTCAGAACAAGCTAATAATGGTAAGTACATCTCATTGAAAAAGACAACACAAAAGACCTTATGATAAACAGCTAAATGATTTTGCAAATGTTTATTAAAGGTGATAATAACCTTTTAACTTTTACATATGGAAGAGGAAAACCAACTTCTAGCAATAACAATAGAAATATAAACGGTTCTCTTTTGAAGGGTAAGAAAATGATAAAATTAAAGATACAAAACAACTTGCATAGCTTCTGGAAGTACCTGATATTGACTAAACTATTTGTGAGTTTTGCTGCTGAGTCTTTCCAGTTTCCACCAGTTGTTGTGTACCGCAAAGCTAAAATAAGATACAGAAATTCTTTTGTTTGTCAAAGAATCAAAATATAAGCACTTGTAAAAACTACTTCAAATATTTATTAATAACTTCCAATCAAAGCAAGCAGCCTATGTAGATCAAGTCTAACATTAACCCACAAAATAACCTAGGTAATTTAATATTGCTGGTCTAACTAAGATTATGCAATTATTCATTAGTTAGGTATTTCATTGTTATTGATAATTTTGTACATAATCTCAATAATATTTCACAAACTACTACAGGAGATTTAGGTTAGTCATAAATCAATATACTAAGCTAATAATTGGCAATAATCCTCATAATAAATAATTGAAACATAATAAAAATTAATATACCATATACATTTTAACCCAATAAATACAAATTAATGATGCATAAATAAACATTTATTGATTATTCAGTAAGAAAATAGTTCTATAATTTATGATTTCTTGAGATTTGCTGGGAATTAAAAACAATCATTATATTGCATATTTTTTCAAAAGTAAGTCTAACTGAACAGACAAGTTGAACCACATTTTAAATCACTTTTATTCAAATGGGTGAACAATGACATATAAATATATAGAATACTCAAAATGCATGCATCACAAAGTAATTTGAATAAACATGTGTACTAGAAATAAAAATCCTACTTATACTGAAATTTAGCTAGCCAGAAATATCATAGCCAATCAGAACAATGACTAAAGATGGAATGATCTATTTTCTTCTGATTTTTATTTGGCATTGAAGAAATCTTGGTAAATTTCATGACTGGTATTGTTAGTGTTTTGAAAAACATAAGATGATGACTGAGTAGTCTTATTTATTTAGTTCTTTAAAGCTATTCTGGGTCACCATAACATAATGTGTTATTGAATACTTTAAAGTCCAACCTGTGTTACAGAATGTTCTTCTTTAACCATTTATCTACAATGATTAGCCTGGAACAAAATGAATAATGCTTACCCATAGAATATGTGTTGTCAAAAACTTGATGCATTCTAATTATTTCATAATAGAGCTCATCATAACTAGTTGGAGATGGAAGAAATGTGTCTCCAAAAGTAATGAAGAGGTTGAAAATGTTTATCACCTGGTAAACATTAAAAAAAGTACAGGTTGACGTACCAAGAAATTAATAAATGTCAAAATATCCATATATATATCACCTTATGGTCTTGAAAAATACAGAGGGTTTGTTCACAGTCTATGATAACATATCAAATCAGTTAGCCACTTGTCATTCACAGGCATGTGATTATAAAGGTTAAAAGCTCTTACTCTCTTGTGGGAGATCAGTTGAATAATGGTGATTTGTAAGTGCAGATGGTGCCTGAGATAGACTCTTTCTGAGAGGATTAGATTACAAGAATTTACAGAACATAATTCTTCTATTTCATGACTATAAGAGCACGCAAGGCAGAAACATATTATTTTGAACAAAGAGATATCTGTGGTATTAAACTAAACTGGAAAAGCAATGTATGATTCAAACAAAACAGGCTCTTTCATGACTATTTACCAGTCACACAGCATGTAAAAAGTTAAACAGTTCACAGCTAAAAGCAACACAAAAACAGAGCTAACATAAGAGTCTTCATTAGAACTGCGGGCTCATTCGATTCAACATAAATCTTGACCCCAAATTGACCTTTAGAGTTTCCATTCTATAAATTTTAATATGTTTTGTGTATCTTCACAAATTTTGCAAGCTTTCAGTAAGCATTACAAGTCTTTTATAGACATAAAATAAAATTTCTAACAAATTATTTTTACTACAGATTTCTCCATGAATATGTGGAGTTAAAGTGTTGACTGCTCTGAGTGCAAAGTGATTTTCATATTAATATTAAAAAATACTTTCCTTCATCTGGAAATTATCAAATTTCATTTGCGTAATCTCTAAAACCTCCTAAATAAATTTCAAGCATTTTTTTTTCAGTAAAAGTTTATATTTTGTCTGTTATCTTCTCTACCCTAACTCTGTCAATTTAAACCTTGTAACCACTATAAAAAAAATACAAGATAAATCTAAATTACCATTTTTATTTATAGAATGACTTCAATTTGTTACAGGAAATTAGACTTGTTGTTTATCTTCAATAGCTTAAAGCTGTAACAGTATACATCTATTTCTATTTAAATTTTATTGTTTTATTGCCCTTTGAACAATGTCTAACTAATAATCAAACCACACAAGTTGTAAATCACTTGGCAAAAATGTACCTCACTTTTCCCTATTGAATTATGTAATGCATAACCTACTCATGAGCTGCTCGCAACCGTATCTCATGAAATTTTTATTAATATTCTTTATCTTACCTTATCTAACCTAATAAGTTTCTAATTTTTAAATCTTAGTTCCTTTTATATTAATAAATAAAAGATACACATGAAAAACCAAAAATATAATACATACCTGGGTTTCCTTTTCTTTGCTGTCAACTGTTGATGAAACTTAACCCTACTTTTTTATACTAATGGTACCACTATACTAAATAATATTTAAGTTAATTAAGTAATACACTTAAAAACACAGAATAATAAAACATAAAAAGCAGACAATATCTTATAACTATCATAATTTTTCTAGCAATAAGAACTGTTAAAAATCAGCTAAGCTCATCGATGTGGGGGAATAAAGTTTGAATTGGAAACAAAATAGACAACTCTATTTAATGAAAACAACATAATACATCATTCAATAGATCAAAATCTTGGCATTGTAATAGTTATAAATAATATAGTATTAATTGTTAAATTCCATACTTCTTGGAAGAGTGGTAAATAAAGTACAGAATAGGGTCTATCTAAAAAGCAAATGTCACAATTCTCATACTAGAGTAAGATTGAGGATTTTTAAAAATATTTCTTCATAAAATTAAAAACTTATATAACATTAAATTTTGGTTTATTAACCATGTTTTTATGCCAAGTTTATTTGTATATCATGATAATAAAGTAGTTTAATTAAATTTTGAATGCAACTCTCTAAATAGTCGTGACACGCACACTTTGACCTGCTCATAGCAAGAGGGTTAAGTAAGGCTTTGGAAGTTATCATACGTGCATGGCTGATGGACTGTGGAATGTATGTAAAGAGGTGAGAGATAGTGCATAAAAGATTCCTTTGGTGAGAAATGAGCTGCAGAGCAATAGTCCACAATCACATCCATCACAAACAGCATGGTGCAGTAAAAGAAACTGTAAGGCATATTTACACATCCTTATATCATTCCACTGGACCATGTGATACTTAATACAAAATAATACAATAGTCCACAATCACATCTATCACAAACAGCATGGTGCAGTAAAAGAAACTGTAAGGCATATTTACACATCCTTATATCATTCCACTGGACCATGTGATACTTAATACAAAATAATACAATAGTCCACAATCACATCTATTACAAACAGCATGGTGCAGTAAAAGAAACTGTAAGGCATATTTACAC